TTTTTTTAAAGATACCAGTGTCTCTTGAAAATTTTCAAAATTGCTAACTTAATTTTATATATTCATGGGATAAGCGTGGGTCAGTTGTTTGTGAATCTTTGTCTCAAACTTGAACAGGTTTCATTCTGACATAAAATAATTGATGCTCTTATCTTTTTGTAGCTGAACAAACATCTCACACAGAATGAGAAGGATCTCAACACATACAATGAGATGCTCAAGTCTTTTGATGTAAGTAAAAGATTTATTATCAATCATTCAACCAAATATACAGTACATAGGGTAACAGATATCCTTCAGTTCATTGTAACTGTATACAAATTAAACTATTATTTATAATAAAGAGATATGTTATAAATGAAATATAGCAGCTAGTTTGTCATATTTCAGCCGAGGATACAAGAGATAGAGCGTCGTATGTCGGAGCGGGGTGAAAAGTTGAAGATTCTCAAGGAGAGAATGGACAGGGTTGAAGACGAGGTGTTCATGACGTTCTGTATCCAGATTGGTGTCGAGAACATCAGGTAATTTATTGTGCTGATATTATTGTGTTGAGGATTATAGCAAAACAGGAGGAACAGGTTTAAAGCCAACTAGTGCCGATATCTTAGTCTTTTTTTGTGTCTATAGACAAAAAAAATATATCTTGAATGTTCACTTTTAAGTTCCTTCATTATGCCGATATAAAGCTGAAACCTTTTATTAATAGTTATCTGAATTCGTAGGGTTGTGGATTCAGTGTTGTGAACCGCAATTTATTCATGAATTATAATGCGCTTAACAAAAAGTGGAATGCAGACATTTCAGATTTTTTTTGAAATTGGTTGTCTGGACAGGTTTAGCATACTCAATTGGATTGAGTGGTCATCCTTAACTCTCAATTATTTTACCTCAAATTTTTTGTTGTGTATTTTTGTCTAGAAAATGATTAAAAAAGTTACTTTCAGATCATTGTGTACGATCGTTGGCCAGAGCCTTGAACGTGTAGATTATTCAATAAGTTAACAAATACACCTACCACGTGAAACAAAGAACACTCTCTTTCCATACAGGCAATATGAAGAACGAGAGCTTAGAGTACAACAGGACAGAGCAAAGAAGAGGCTTGAATTCGAGAATCAGAAATTCAGNGAGATTCATCATAAAGGAATATAAATCGATATGATATACAGTGACAAAATTCCAAAATAAATCAAGGTAGCTGGTACTTTGGTTATCAAGTGTATGGTGTTAAAATATCCCCTGGAAATTATTCCAGATAGTGTTGCTGGTAATAACTAAGTGTGACTTTTCCAGATGGATGACGTACAGATACCGTTAAAGCGGGGTACGTTGGAGGACATCAACCGCGAAGACGAGCCGTCCAGTCAGCCAGATGGCAGTCAGGACACGCCCCTAGACAGTATGAGTAGTCAAGGGGCTAAAGCAATATACGCGCGAGAGGCCCACATCCTCCTCGACTACAGCGGTCTGGATGATGATGACAAGGAGGTAAGGTTTGAATGAGTGGGGAGGCATATAGAATCATGTAAAATGAGAGGGATGTTCATCAGAAAAAGTTTGACTAAGAATGTATATAGGGCGGTTTGTTTAAGAAAGTATATAGGGCCGCATTCATTTATTGCAATCCAAACAGTTGAACCGGTTGTACCAGAGTTGTTAATTTAAAAAATAAGGTTGAACCTAGTAATTTTAAAGTACTTTCAGGCAAGCCTTGACAAAGCCTTGCAAAACCTGCATAATCGTGTGCAGTGCAGGTCCACCAGTNCCAGTAGCTCTACAATCTACCATGGTTTTTTCTACAAATGTGGATTTATAACTTGATACCACCTTGGATTAGACCAGCAATTGCAGTAAATTTTATTGTCACTAAACCAAAAAAGTCTTACTATTTGGCTTTGATTCCATTAGTCTGGTAAGCGATGAAGAAAATCCAGAGCATACTAGAATAGAAGATCACCGCCATGTCTTTTGATTTAAAGAAGTTTCAACTTCCCTAGTGCAGACATTCAGGTTTTGACCAAAATCACTTGGGAATAACTATGACTTGTAATTGACTTTCAAGACATCTTTAATAAATCTTCATGTACAAATATTTTACCTAAAATAACTTTCGAATGATGCATCCATCTCTTTAAGCTGGAAATGGCAGACGAGGTGAGAAAGCGTGACAATCAATACCAGAAGGCTGTGGCTGACATGCACACCACTATACAGAGGATTAACGCACCCAACATGAAGGCCATGGAAAAGTAAGTAACAGACTGTTAACATACTTATCTCGGGTCCAGTTCCTGAACTGAACAAGAATAACATTAGAAGCGGTAGCTGCAATTTGGGTAAAAAATGGTTTTGAAAATTATTTTAATACACAGGTATAAGTATCCCGCTACACATGCTGAAAATATGCATACCATTTGCACAAAAAAGATAAAAAGGTATTTAAGTTGATATTGTTTTCAGCTGGCCACACCTATCAAACTTATAAATAGTGCCTTAAGTAATTTGTTGGGTTTCCCTAGGATTCTTCATGAACACGTTTTACAGGACTGCCTGGTTGTAAGGATTCCATTAACAATTAAAAAAATCAGTATTACATGGATCCTTTTAATAATAATTATGTCTTTATGTGCAGACTTGATGGTGTAAGAGAAAGATTCCAGGAGACTTCAGCAGAATTTGAAGATGCCAGAAAAAGGGCAAAGAGAGCCAAGCAGGCATACGAGAAAGTCCGCAAAGAGAGATACGACAGATTCATGCACTGCTTCGAGCATGTGGCCACTAGAATTGACGAGATCTACAAGGTAAAATAACTCTTATGAAGCTGATATGTGTTGACTTCCTAAAATTTCTGTTATTATGAGTGTGTTTTACACTTGTATATGTAAAACAAAATTGAAACATCTACTGTAATGTAAGAAAGATTGTGTGATAAAAAGAAGTATTAAGTATTCATGTGGGAAAGTTCCCTTTTGCTATTGATAGAAGGGATGGATAATTTGATAGCATCTACTACTGGTCGGTTGTAATGGTGAGGGGCATCTTGCTATCTTCTGGGTGATATTTATATATCCTGTGGTTGTTGATACTAAATGTATTTTCCTTGCCTTAAGTTTTCCCGTATAGAAGTATTTTTAACCCCTCTGAAATGTTTTGACTTCAGTCGCTGGCCCGTAACCAGAGTGCCCAGGCTTTCCTTGGGCCCGAGAACCCAGAGGAGCCTTACCTGGATGGTGTTAACTATAATTGTGTTGCTCCCGGAAAACGATTCCGGCCCATGGACAACTTGTCTGGAGGAGAGAAGACTGTAGCTGCTCTTGCTCTGCTGTTTGCAATTCACAGGTAACCATCAATTATATTGTATACTTTTCATAGGGAAACTGGGCAGTATTATATCATTTGAAATTATTTCTTCCATGAAATGTTCAGATTTATATATTAAGCAACTACAAACAGATGGATTCATTTCAATCCATTTGATTTTCACAATTTGAAGAACTTGGTGCTTGATTTTATGTGGTAAATTTGTGGCCAAATAACATAATGAACAGTGTGTTCAATTTATGGCTTTGAGACTTAAATAATTGAGCTGCATGTTTATAAGTAAAAACACCAATGTTTTATACATTGTTAGATTCTATCAGTGTTTGACAGGAGATTGTACACACACCTGCTGGTTCTACGGATGTCATTGGTAAATGAACATGTGAGAAAAAGTTTATACACATATCAGTATAATTTAACTGCAAAATGTATTGTCTGCCCTGAAAAAACAAATAACTCTTTTACCATTTTGTTGTCCCTAGTTACCAGCCAGCCCCGTTCTTTGTACTGGACGAGATTGATGCTGCTCTAGACAACACTAACATAGGAAAGGTATGTATAGACACTTTTAACTCATTCACCCCTGAAGACACATTTGAAATTTGAACTCTTCCAATTCAAAGGTTGGAATAGTTCATTATGAAATTTCCAGGATGAATGAGTTAAACAGTTTCATCAGATAACTCAATTTGACATTTTGGTACTTTAAAATCACATAATATTCTTGGTAGTTCACCAGGAGATATTTTGCGAATTTAAATATTTTGCGAATTTAAATATTTTGCGAATATTAGCTTCTTAAATAAATATTGAAATTTTATGCTACAATTGTGAAATCAAGTATTCCCTATAGAACCTACAGGCTAGGTTAATGTAATAAGTACATAACAAATACTCCTAGGGGTGTTTTGCAGTTGTTTTGTAGTAAAATGGTTCCATTATTTGGTAATGTATAAATAAAGAATAAATAAAATAAAGGTGTCTGTTTGATAATTTCTTCCTGTAACAGCTCTATAGAATTGTTCTGCACAATAAATATTCTTTTTCGACAGGTGGCCTCATACATCCGTTCCCAGTCTGAAGTAAGCTTCCAGTGTATTGTGATCTCACTGAAGGAAGAGTTCTACAACAAATCTGATTCTCTCATCGGAATCTACCCAGAGGTATAGACTCTTCATAAAAAATGACCAAAAACGTTCTTTTCTGTGTATGAAATTTGAAGAAGAAAAAATGAATGCTACAAAATTTCGTATTTTTTGTTTCCTCTAGATTTCTGTTCATGAGCTTTGATGTGCAGAATCATGAAAATCAGATAGTTTTTGTTTGAGTCAGATATGCTTTGTAAGAAAACAATCACATATGTATGCAACAGATTCTATCTTCGTCCTTTTAGAGAGGTGGTTCTCTGGTTGTATTGTGATGACAAGAGGTAGCTAAAAGCTGAAGTCTATAAATAAGAGCAATATAACAAGAGCTAAAAAAAAACTATTATTACTTAAACCGTAATTTTTTGTCTAAATATTGTACTTCTCCATTACAGGTGGGAGACTGTGTGATAAGTCATGTATTAACAGTTGACCTCAACGATTACCCAGAATCCCAGCTAGGCGACGACGAGGACAGTCCCAGCAAGTCGCGGTAGTTGACACTTTGAGAAGAATATATTTTATGTATAGTGCAAATTCTATTGTTTTACTGTGTGTTTGCTTAAACACAAACTTCTGTGAAACCTTGTTAAGACTGCCCAGCCCTTCGTGTCGAGGTGGCAAGTTGGACTTAAATCCTTCCCTGCATTTCACTTGACTTTCTACGAGACCACATGTTGTTTTCCTCAGTTTGAGCTAAACAATTGGTTCACATGTGTTATGAGGTGTCATCTGGGTCAGTTCAATAAAACACCCATTTCATTTATACCAAAAGTCATACACATGTTTTTGTTCAGAGATGCATAAATCATTTCACTGTATATAGATATTTTTAACAACATATTTTATTTATCAGCAATATGGAACAAACTAGTTGTTAGTGAATATGTGTTTTATAGTTTTATCAATGTTGTAAATACACAAGAAAAGTTGGATCGTTTTGTGTCCTTGCCACTTTTAAGTTCATTGTTCATTTCTCTGTTCAGACTCTTGCTGGCTAGTAAGCATGTAAGTGTCAAACTGTTATATCATCAGGAAGATACCTAATGTTACAGCTGTATGCGGATAGGCTACTTCAGCAAAATAGATTGTTTATGGAAAGGTTAGTAAAGTTGTGCCATTACATCATTTGTCTGTCAACTTACCCTGTATAATAATATCAGCTTTCACAATATTTTCTGTATCCGCCCCAAAGTCATGTGGAAACATTTGACAAACATAGGTAATAGCTTAAGAATTGTTATTATGATTCTCAGTTTCAATAATTTTCAGGATAGATTTTATTAAAGACATGTATGTATACTTTTACCTGGTCAGACTCGGACAACAGAGACTCGTGTTTGTATTAGCTAACATACTCTGTACAAATGTTTTATCTGTTTAGAGTTTTACATGTCGATGTAAGTATATGTTATTGTTGGTAGAGTCTGGCTGACATTAATGTACACAGAGCGTTATGTCTTTTTCACATCTATATCCATCAATCATCTTTGTTTATCAGCTAGAGAGTTATAAGAAGAGTTACGGTAGCTGTGTGTATTCGTTGTACTTGTTTATGTTGACTATTCGTTACATTTCATTGCTGATATTAGTCTATGATCCCGCTGTGCTGATTCGGTATGACATTCTTGTGGTTTTTGTTCATCATTATCACAAACCATATGGTCATTTTGTTTTTATCATTGAACCAGATTCAGATTAAACCAAGAGAGGGAGAGAATATTTTTGATATTTAAATCGTGAACAAACCATAAGCATCGTAATTCATAATTTCTCGAGTTGAAATACATTTAATTAAACAGGACGATAACATGTGAAAGTGAAGGAAAATCTATAGCAACATAGGTTGATTCATTATTATTGTATATTTAAATTATGTTATTGACAATTCTTTCAGGAGCTAATTTGATTGGTTGCCTGGTTTCATCACTGTGCTCCATCAAAGTAGATATTTTATGTTTAATTCTTCATCATGGTCATTGATAATAAATTAATTTGTAAAATTGTATCTGTATTTTGTTAATTTCTTAACCATGTAAAAAGGGATTTACAAGATTAAGTCAAAGCATATTAAGAATCGTAATGATTCTGCTGTTCAGAGGTCGTTGGAACAAAGAATTGATTTTCAAATTAAATCTGGAAAATGCATGGGCCATAGCAATTATATATTTTGTTTGACTCCTCAATATTAAAAAACAACACATAGATTGATTAAAAGTAATGAAGGGATTATTTGAAAATTGACAATCTATGAAAAGCGATTTTCTATAAAAGACTCCTTGTGTTGGTAGAGAAAGAATACAATATAAAACAAAAAACTTGTTAGTTCCTCACATAAAATTCACAAGAGGAAATGGATGTGTTAAATCTTCTTAACAGTAACATCTTGCAATGTAGATAGCACCTCAATGCACAGGATCTTGATGACATATTCTGGAAGGCTGTTTCTGCAAGAACTGAACAGAACAATGTGATAGCACCCCAACTGTCATGCCAGACACATTTTCAGGGGAATATCTCCGGAGTGTCGCCTACTAAAAGTAGGTCATTGACCTTTATTTGACCTTTTCTCTTCATTATAGTATAAGGCTTGTCCAAACATAGTTTTGTACTTGACGCCTAAGACCTCCCAAACCATTTTATACAGATGCAACCGAGGACACCAGCGACAAATACATTGTAATCACCTTCAATATGACATGTTCAGACAGCATTTCGTTGATCAATAGGTCAGGTGTTTTATGTCCACCTTCACTCATGACGATGTTCAGTCTCTATGCAAATGGAGAAATTGTGCCTTGTCTGCCTGCTTACTGAGACAAGTTCCAGATACATTCCAAGACCAGACATCTCCTTGGAGTCAAAGGGGGATTTTGCCAGCTGTGGTCCACAGTTCCATGTCCATACATGTCTGTTTCATTGTTCAACCAGCAGTTAATCTAGGAAGACGAGGACTGCCCTATGTATTTTATCCTTTTCCATGTCTAATATGCTGAATGGCCCTTATTATTAACCTCCATGGAAGGATGTATCTTGACTAGATGGTGTGTTGCATAAAACTCCTAAGGTAAAAAGGTAAAGGTAACAGCTGTCAGTCAAATGCTAGCTCTTTGTAATGCATGTCCAGGCCTCCATTCTGTATGTAAAAGTGTGTGCATGGAAAAATAGCTGAAAGTAGTTAGTTTTTTAGTCAGTCGTTAATCTTATTTTTTCTATATTTACTTCCTTCACATGAACATTTAATCCCTTTTATTATATATAATAGTATATTGTGAAGTTTAAACAGTTCTAGTCTTCAAAATCAAGCAGTTTTCATTCGCGTTACATTTCTGATATATACCGAGTCGATGATGGGTCAGGTACCAGTTGTGTCTGCTGTCAAGGTCATTGCATAGGGTCATAGGTCAAATACTTCTAAACTGTGTGAAGGCAGTGATTCTAAGAAACTAAATATACAGTAAAAGATCACTATGGATACAGCTTGAACAACTTCAATGGAACCAAGATTGATGATCTATCAAGATATTGACAGTTGTAGAGGTTTGTGATGAAGTGCAATATTTCAGTATGCTTGTTATAGGAAAGAAACATCTTAATATAGTTCTTTAACTGTTCTAGTGGCCATCAAATTTCACTACCATGGATCAACGTTCAAAACAAAGGAACTGGTGATTGAAACAGAACTGGACGGAAATAAATTCCTTGATTAAGGCCAATATTGAGAAATATATACTGCTTTGGCCTCAGGATTAGCATTTAAACTAGAGATTTTTGTCTTTGTTTTTGCGAACAAAAATGTATGTCTACCCTTTAACAGTTTAAAAGTTAAGGCCCAGACAAGATATTCCTAAAAACTTCGATATCAAGGTCAAGGTCACAGTGCATTGTACATTGTCTGTTGGTGATGCAAATATACTGCAAGTTTTATAAAGGATGTCTTTAACTTGGCACTAATTTTACCTTATTATTAGAGGAACTGCCTACTGCTAAATTATAAAATCCATATAAATAAGTTCTAATTGTAATGGGGACCATTACAGAAGTCCTCAAAACTGACCCCATAGTCGCAAAGGATCCTTAGATAGAGATTACAATGCCACCATATACTTGCATACTAAGTTTAAGCAAAATTAGACACAGTGAAGGACCGGTGGCATCACGTTGGCATACACCTTTAAATGATTTGAAACAATCTGACTTTTTTTTACCTTTGACCTTGAGGTTAAGGCCACAGTGATCTCATGACATTGCATTGCACATCTTATGTAGATGGTACAGTTATACTGCAAGTTTCATCAGGATATCATGACTGGTTTAAAAGTTACAGCCCAACAAGATTTAGCACATATTTTACCTTTAACCTTGGGGTCAAGGTCACAATGACCTAATGACAGTGCACTGCACATCCTCTATGGGTGATGCAGGTATACTGCAAGTTTCATCAAGATATCTTTAACGATTTATACCTGCATCACTTCCCTTCGAACTTGCAGTATACCTGCATCACCTCCCGTCGAACTTGCAGTATACCTGCATCACCTCCCGTCGAACTTGCAGTATACCTGCATCACCTCACTTCGAACTTGCAATATACCTGCATCACCTCCCTTCGAACTTGCAGTATACCTGCATTACCTCCCTTCGAACTTACAGTATACCTGCATCACCTCCCTTCGATCTTGCAGTATACCTGCATCACCTCCCTTCGACCTTGCAGTATACCTGCATCACCTCCCTTCGAACTTGCAGTATACCTGCATCACCTCCCTTCGAACTTGCAGTATACCTGCATCACCTCCCTTCGAACTTGCAGTATACCTGCATCACCTCCCTTCGAACTTGCAGTATACCTGCATCACCTCCCTTCGAACTTGCAGTATACCTGCATCACCTCCCTTCGAACTTGCAGTATACCTGCATCACCTCCCTTCGAACTTGCAGTATACCTGCATCACCTCCCTTCGAACTTGCAGTATACCTGCATCACCTCCCTTCGAACTTGCAGTATACCTGCATCACCTCCCTTCGAACTTGCAGTATACCTGCATCACCTCCCTTCGAACTTGCAGTATACCTGCATCACCTCCCTTCGAACTTGCAGTATACCTGCATCACCTCCCTTCGAACTTGCAGTATACCTGCATCACCTCCCTTCGAACTTGCAGTATACCTGCATCACCTCCCTTCGAACTTGCAGTATACCTGCATCACCTCCCTTCGAACTTGCAGTATACCTGCATCACCTCCCTTCGAACTTGCAGTATACCTGCATCACCTCCCTTCGAACTTGCAGTATACCTGCATCACCTCCCTTCGAACTTGCAGTATACCTGCATCACCTCCCTTCGAACTTGCAGTATACCTGCATCACCTCCCTTCGAACTTGCAGTATACCTGCATCACCTCCCTTCGAACTTGCAGTATACCTGCATCACCTCCCTTCGAACTTGCAGTATACCTGCATCACCTCCCTTCGAACTTGCAGTATACCTGCATCACCTCCCTTCGAACTTGCAGTATACCTGCATCACCTCCCTTCGAACTTGCAGTATACCTGCATCACCTCCCTTCGAACTTGCAGTATACCTGCATCACCTCCCTTCGAACTTGCAGTATACCTGCATCACCTCCCTTCGAACTTGCAGTATACCTGCATCACCTCCCTTCGAACTTGCAGTATACCTGCATCACCTCCCTTCGAACTTGCAGTATACCTGCATCACCTCCCTTCGAACTTGCAGTATACCTGCATCACCTCCCTTCGAACTTGCAGTATACCTGCATCACCTCCCTTCGAACTTGCAGTATACCTGCATCACCTCCCTTCGAACTTGCAGTATACCTGCATCACCTCCCTTCGAACTTGCAGTATACCTGCATCACCTCCCTTCGAACTTGCAGTATACCTGCATCACCTCCCTTCGAACTTGCAGTATACCTGCATCACCTCCCTTCGAACTTGCAGTATACCTGCATCACCTCCCTTCGAACTTGCAGTATACCTGCATCACCTCCCTTCGACCTTGCAGTATACCTGCATCACCTCCCTTCGACCTTGCAGTATACCTGCATCACCTCCCTTCGATCTTGCAGTATACCTGCATCACCTCCCTTCGACCTTGCAGTATACCTGCATCACCTCCCTTCGAAGAGGAGGCATAACAAGAGCTCTGGCCCCAGTTGCTCAAAGGTTGATTAACTCTTACCAGTGGTAAGTGAAACATTAAAATTGTTATTAACAAACAAAGGCTTTCAAAGCAAAATAAATCCTGAAGAGATGTCAATATAATCTGTCTCCGCAAACCTTTAGCAGGGTTATACTATCAGATGATCTTGTTTTTCTTCTTTCTATTCATACTTTGAATATTTCCCTAACCACTGGTTTAATTTACTCTCACAATGCTTTGAGCAACCGAGGCCTGTTTACTAAGGTCAACACGACGTAGTAAAACAAACAATAACAGCAATAGGAAATTGTATATTTTTACATTTTAATCTGTTCCATTATTTTTTTCAAGGGCAATGAGTTCAATATAATATATATACAATTTACAATAATTGATAAAATATTTACATTCAAAAATCATATCACAGACATACATGATGGCATCTAGGGACCTTACTCTAAAGTAAATCCATTGCAGGGAATTATCATGCAAACATCCTCGACAGGCTTTTACAGTGTGCATGGGATGTCTAGAGCCATCGGGATAGTAAATGGTGCATTGCTTTGCGACTGTTGAAAACCTGTCTTGTTTCAATTTTGATGACCACATTTCTGCAACTTTGACACCATAACTTAGTTGATGTTAAAACTCGTAGTATTAGAAAACAATTCCATCTCCAGAAATTTTACATTTTTGTTTAAATTTTAAACTAAATTTTCCAAAGGCTTACTATATTTGAAGTTAATTTAATAAAGCCAAATGCAAAATCATGTTATTTTCTAAAAAAGGAATAAATAACGATACGATTCACAATGGCAGGCAATTTTTTCTTTCCTAAGTTCAACTATTTCCACATAATCCATTTTCAATTTTATCTTGCTCACTTTCACATGATTTAAAGAATTTTTTTATTAAGGATTGTAAGTGAAACTAGTTTGTCAGAAGTTTGTGTCCAAATATAGCCTACAGGCAAATTTTATGCCCGCTGTTGAACGGGAAGTTGCTGGCCAGCTATCGTTGGTCCGGAGGGCATGGATCTTTCGTTGGCACGCACACGTATGTGTTCAGCCATTCCAGGAAGTCTGGAGAAGTAGTTCCTAGCCAAGGTATGCTTCTGTTGTACTTTGTGTATAAATACAGAACCATATCCCTGGAAACAAAAAAGATTACCTTAATTTACATTTCATTTTTTCATTCCTTAAATTTCATAGAAGTCTTGAAACAAATTGTAAATTGCAAAGAGCAAAGGCATACGAGAACAATACTTTAACTGAAACAATTGAATTAAAACCATTTTATTTTTTTAAGCCCCAAAACAGAAGACTGTTCTGTGACACAGGACAACAATATATTTGACTGTACTGTGACAAAGATGACAACTGTGGCAGGACACGATGAACAGTGTTGTGATGTAGAATGATAGCCATACCTCTTCTAAATTGACTAATTTTTCGTGTGCAGATGCCTCGTCCTTGGTGAGGAGGATGCAGTTCCAGGGAGACCACTCTTGGTGTTTGTCCCAGCGGACCAGTACAAGGTCGTACAGATCCTCCCACGAACTTAGTATGCTCTGGCTGTTCCAGATCTTCTCGACCAGGTATCGCAAATCTTGTTCCTGGAGAGAAATAAATCGTTAGCTAATCTCAACATCATAGCATGTATTCTCCTTAATGTTTGATCAATTTCAAGAAAAAGTATCTTAAATGTAAAAAACACCAAAACATTTCGAACTAGTCATGAAAATCTTGAGCTACAGGGACGAAATAGATGTCACCCGTACTCCAACACTTAAGGACAGATACTTTTCGGAACAAGTCAGAATTATTCAGCTTTATGAGGCAAGGAGCAACCGGTTTTACAATTCAGGGGGTATAGTGCAATTTTATGCGTAATAGGTCGAATAATAATGGACACAGTTACGTCAAAATCGGAAGTCTTTCAGTTAAACCACTACGGAACTTCTCAGGAAATATACCTGTAGGAGGAAGGCAATCTTGGAGTCGTCTCCGTACAGCTCCTCGGCTTTCCTAAGGACCTTGAGCATGTACTGGTAGGTACTGATGTCCTGGCGGGTACGAGCATCGTTATCAATCTTAGAACAATTGCGACATTTGCCAACAGTTCGGGAATTTGACGACAAGGCAAAATCTGTCGAAGGCAGATACTGGTTACAGCTCGGACAGAAGTAGATGTTCTTTCGTAAGCTGGATGGATCTTGTGGTACCTGGATAGGAAAAAGGTCAAGGTCAACATTGCAGAAATTTCCATTGAAAAATAGTAAATTCGAGAATTCAAGCAAAAATCAAAATAAATAGAATTACCAGAATTTGTCCTTTGCTGGTATTTGAAAGCTTTCATTTGAACAATCTTTTTTTTTCTTTTTTCTTTTTTTTTTAATATGTTAAAAAAATCTTTGTGAATGTTTTGCATTTGTTTTTTTCTTTTATTAAGATTGTTAATTTTTTATGAGTGAAATTTGGAAAGTCAAAGTTAATGTATTTAATGTTGGAAATGTAATAATTTTATAAAGGTTTCCCAAAATGTACATTAAAATAAGTTATAAACATCAATAATATTGTCTCGGACTTTTATATTAGTTAAAATTAGTATGTAAATGATTTTGTTTTCATTAACTGGAACTGAATCGGGTACCTTGAGTAATTTGGCTGCCTCAGGATTAAACGTTGGAGTTTTGATGTATTGAAGGAAGAGTGTGGAGATACGCTTCCGCAGCCCATCCAGATTAGATTCCTTGACCCCTCTCATTAAAAGGTCAGCTTCTCGGTCAATAAGCTCAATTATCTCTTGGGTCAGCTTACAGTCATGTTCCTGTGGATCAACCATATAAATATCATTATTTAAAAGAAGACATAAAAAGATAAATGATTTGAGCTATAGCTATCTGTGAAGTTACACTGTAAAAAAAAACTAATCAAAAGCTTCACCAGAAGTTATTGTTTAAAAAAAGTGAATTGTATCAGATGCTCACAAAAAGGCATGTACCAAGTATATGTTTTATATTTCATATAATAAAAAATAAAACAAAAATCTTAATTTTTATCTCATTAATATACCAAGTCTAAGGACTATGAATGGAAACATAATTTGTCTATTCCAAAATATATGTTTTCAATGTTTTATTTTGATCCAAAAAAAAAGTTCTTTCACATTGGGAGAGAAAAAAACAATTATGCTTTTGGTATATCCAATTATCAAATATTGCAGAAAACCAGTGGAAGCACATTTTGATGACATAAATAACATACTGACATCAAAAGTTAATGTGACTAGTGTCTTACCTTAACTGTGTGTTTGAGCGTGAGGAGGACATCAAGACGTTCATCCTGCGTTAGATATTTCATGTTGATACTGTTATAAATATCTTGAAGCTCCTTGGCCCTGATTGTGTAGGGGGTATCCATTTCTGTTGTTTTACCATCAAAGCCCCTCCATTTCTTAGGTGCAGCAGCCTTTTGAAAGAAAAAGAAAAGAAATTAACTCGTGATTCGAAACGCATCGTCTGAACCAAACCAAAGAAATTAATCTGAAAATAACAAGTAGTGAAAATGAACTGAATTTGACATTTTTGCATAACCAATCTTAAATCAGGTCGACCATTTTCTATAAGTTTCTTTACAATAAAAGAAAAACTTGAAAAAATAGCAAGGACAAGATTTTTTTTTTATTATTTGTTTACCTTGCTGAGAAACTGTTGTATCCTTTTGTCCTTGTTCTCTGTGTCTGCCTCGAGTTTGTGTCTGCCAATGGCAGATATAAGTTGTGTCTCTTGGTCCAGCAGCATGCAAAGTGCCGCCTTTCTCTCCGCATCGTCCATCGAATGATTGATCCGCTCTAGCTCCTCCTGACGCCACTTCTCTAACGCGTGATACAACAGGTCAAAATCTTCTTTTGTCTTTGGATTCATCCTCCTCTCGAATTCTTTCTTGATTCTTTCCTCTTTCTCTCTCCGCTTCCTAATTTCTTCCAGTCTTTCCCATTCAATCCTTTGCTGTTTGTCCATCTTCAGTTTCTGGACATAACGTTTGGCTAGCCAGCGACGGTAGTATTTTTGTATGATGATTACCTGAAAGCAATAAAGTATTTCAATTGTATAGGCCAAAAAAATAAATTTATTTCCCAACTTGCAAAACTCACTCTGTTATTATTTTTAGGCTAATTTTGACATGTACACACGTAAATTAAATGAATTCCTAGTAGTTTTCATCATTTTCTTTTTTAATCTTAATATGATATCTAGCTCTTATTCATTTGGCTTGCAATGAATAAACGATTAAACAGCATTTATGTTTTTTTCTTTTTTTCGCTTGGGCTTAAAAAGAGAAAGTGTTAAAAGGAATTGCTCTGGTTTTATGATAAAGAGATACAAGGCAATAATTTTACCATTACTTTTTCTTTTCTTTATTTCTTTTTATTTAATATTTTGTATATAATTTTGATATTCTTTAGTATGATATTGATACAACATTTTTTGAAAGATCGAAACATTAAATTGAAAAGAAAATGTCCTTGACAGTTGTAGAAGTTTTGCTTTATTCAAATTCCATTCATATCATTTTTAATGGAGAAAAAAAATTTGGCTGTCTTCAATGATTATACGAGTGCGTTTATGCTTTTTAAGTCTATTCGTTTACTGAAAACAAATTAATGCATGTCAGTTCTAAATGCTTTAAAAATTTGAATACCTGGTTAAGCATTGTATCAAGGTGTTCTTCAGCTGTTGTGTATTTGCCCGGCTTGACCAACTTATCGTCGAGATTAGCCACGTAGACGCCAATCTTTGTCATCTGTGTGGATGTGTCGTTTTTGGTCTGTTGAAGGTGATGACGCTGTTCCACGGTCTGTGTATCGCGACAGTACCTAACAGTGTTCGAAGGAGTCGGTTGTTTTCGTACAGTTTGGGCTGATGCGTGATGGAACTCAATCCCGGTTTTCTTGTGCCTGTAACCACCTAAATATGGCTTCTTCTTTGTCGTTCTCTCAATCTCAACAACAACGTCTTTTGAAGTTTCATCCTCTAGAAACAAGATAAATGCAAAATGTTAAAGAAAATCGGTGTAAAAATAAAAAGCTTAACACCATTTGAACATTATTCCAAGTAGCTGTTTCCCTTAAAACAGATCAGCCAATAGATCCTCACCTGTCTGTACCCTGACTGTGATGACGTCAGGCATGTGGTATTCCTGACGAGGGCGGTACGATTTGATTGGGGTGTTGACGGGGTCCGACGACTGCATTTCGAGCTGGATTGTTCCGTTAGGCCCAACTCCCAGGTCAGCTAGAGTCTTTGACTCCTCCATGTTGTTACCTATGTGTAAGGACAATTTTTCCTTATTTTGAGATTTTGTTGATGCTGATAAATTTTGACTTTACAAATGTTATTGTATATGACATCTTCCATGTTACAATGTGCAAAAAATGTATCTTCAAACAAGCACCATATGTACCCAAGTTAGTTTTCACTGACATTTTATTTAGTTTTTGCATATTTTTTTTTAAGGATTTCTGTCCATATCTTTTTTATCTAGTTGTATGTACTACAGCTGAAAAATCTCTCCATTACCTGCGAACATAAGCATGATGAGGTTGATGGGCATCTTGAGTTCTGCAGCGAAGTGTGCCTTAAGTTGACTCAGGGTCTGGCCCAGTGTGCAGGCTAGCGTCACAACCTGACCACTCGGCATCAACACAAACTTCACTACAACGACAGAAAAATAGACTATTAGTTATCACTGATAAACCTAGCAAGTCAGAAATTAACTTGTCAACAATGAGATAAAGTAAACATTTTTTTTATTTGTTTCAAAACAATTATGAAACAAAATCTACCAACTTATATTAATCACTCAGTCTCTTGATGACCTGGATGGAAGCCTGCATAGGGTATTACTTGGGGAGGCAACTTTGAGTACCCAGAGAAAGCCCACATGTTCAGGTAAGTGACCCTATATATACATTTTCATGTCTGTTTAGGGAATCAAACCCCAGCTGTCTTGGTGATAACCAAGTGCACTATCCACTGTACGTGCCACTTAACAATAACAATGGAATGACAAAGAACCATGGATGCAGATATGTATTTATAAATCCTTAAATTCTTCGTTCACCTCAAAAATAAACATATTTTGGAAAAAGAAAAACCCAGTCACAAAGTGCTAATACCTGTTGCTGTAGCTTGTAGGTTAGCAGTGGTCCTAAGCGGAGCTTTGTCCTGTACAGGTCGCGGTGATGCTGGTTTGGGTTCTGGTCTTGGTGAATTTGGATCATCTTTCTGAATGGCGGCATTCACCTGTATTACTGGTGCCTCCTCTTCTTGTGGAGTTGGGGCTGGAGCCTCTTCCTGCTGGGTAGGTGGGGCTTCCTGTTCAGGTGCTGGAGGTTCTTCAGCAGGTGCAGGTTCCTGTTGAGCCTCCCCTGATTGCACCTCTCCCTCGGCAGGAGCCTCACCGTCTGCTGGAGCCTCAGCTTCACCTTCCTTCTGCTCTCCTTCATTTGTAGCCTCACCCTCTACAGGAGCCTCACCAGGAGCCTCTACAGGAACCTCAACAGGAGCCTCTACAGGGGCCTCAACAGGAGCCTCTACAGGGGCCTCAACAGGAGCCTCTACAGGAGCCTCAACAGGGGTCTCAACAGTCTCCCCTTCCTTCTGTTGGCCTTCTGCTGGTGAATTTTCTTCCTCCTTCTTTTCTTCAGTATCTTCTGTCTTTTCTGCCTGTGTTTCAGTAGGTGCTGTTGTAGTCTCTCCTTCTGCTTGCTCTGTAGTTTGTTCCTCTGTTGGCTTTTCTTCAGCTGAAATGTATAGAGCACATGTAGCTGAATAGTCTCAAGAAACATTATAGTTCATATTGAAATATAAAACTGGAAAGAGTTAATTTATTCTGAAAATTTGTTTGCACAACTTTCTGGTGAAATTACGTTTTTGACAGCTTAGAGCAGCTGGTATTATGGTATTCTGTCGTTTTGGTACTTCTCCAAAGCGGATTAATGTTTCAACCCAATACTCTGTTTGCATTAGGTGATTAGCATGTCATTAATTTTTCAGTATGTTTAGTCTTCACGATAAAGTACTTAAGTATCTTATTTTAAGTACAGAGCACTTATAGAGCACTTTCCAAAGTTGTGTGTACATATGGATGCTTAGGATCTTTTAGCTTTTGATTGACCCATATGTTTTCCAAGTTGAAATTTTAAAACCGTTTGGTGATTAAATGGCAAAAACTCAAAAATAGCCACCCATGCATTATCTAAACAACGAAATTTATATACTCACCAAATCTTATGTTCAAAATTATGTTCATGTGTTGATATAATGTTCATGTGCAGAATATCATGATGTGCACTTAATACTACAACATGGTTGTAGTGACACTACCTGGTACTGAAACCTCTAGAATTCCATTTTACTATGAAAGATAATAAGGAAAATAGCAAAAGAAATCTGATAATGCAACATTTAGTATTGTCTGTTTTAGATCATTTAATTTTGTTTGTACAAACAACAGATTAAATATGCATACATTGTGTCTCAGCTGGGGGTGGATCAGTGGGAGCGGCGTCCGGGGGAGGTTGTTCCTGTGTAGGTTCAGCTGGTGCCCCACCCTCTTCTGGGTTATCTGTAGGAGGGGGCGTAGGAGCAGCCTCTTGGTCTGCCATGACTTGGTCTAAGAAAAATATACGTCAACAAATATAATTTCTACGTACGTTTTTTCTGGGGGTTTTGGAAAATAGTATACACAATAATCATTGTTCACTTTATATAGCGCATTGCATTCAATTAGTCGAATAAGAACTAAGCAATCGCTTCGACTATTTCAATGAACCTGATGAACCAAAGGCTGTGTCGGGATGAAGAGGCTGTTTTGTTGTAAAAATAATACGAACTCGTGTCTGTTTAGGCCTTCGTGACAGTCGATCAACGTCATTCGTATATGGAGAAAACGGGTATTGAACGTGCAGCATTAAGAATGTTCATTTTGTATGCAAATTGTGTATTTCTGATATACTTACATTATCGTTTACGTTACGATCTGTCCGCCATTTAGGTTGTTTTCATGACGTCTAGGTAACCAGGCTATACCGAACGCTTTGATGTAACAAGAAATTTGATTGGACGAAAGAAACCATTCAGCCAATCAGCGGCGCCTTACTATTCCTATTTTAATTCACTTCGAAGTCTGGACCTCCGAGTCCATAACAACAGGCTTCGACGGATGCAAAGTAATATTTATGTGATAAATATAAACGGTAGAAAAATCGGAAATATGTAGCAGTGATGCAGACATAAACAATTTACAAACAGGAGAAATCATACAGTGTACTAAGTTGAGAAGGTGAGTTTCAAGCATTGTTTTCCTGTCCTATGCCAACACTTGCATAGTTTACAAATGGCTGACCGGGAGACTGGACCAACGTTCCATTATAAATGAGCGTATTGCACATGTACTCTTACTTCTTTAATTAAGACATTAATTCCTCAGATATCTTAAATGTACACAGTTAACATTAAAAACGACATTTTCACCAAAATGTCACGACTAGATCTATACTGAAAAATGTATTCCACTAAGGTAATGAGAATGATTCTTTTACAATGAACATGCAGTGTAATTTCATTCAAACTCATTTTGTAAAACTATCGTTCTTTTGCATTGGATATTGTGTATTATAATCATATAGCTATAGATCGAATTATAGATACATAGTGACTTAACTGTTGGTTGAAACTTTAATATAGAATATAAGTGTAATACTAGGATTGCACCATACTAAGACCAATCGCTGTTGGCCTGCTGGAGTTTTATTATTGTATTCCCACAAAAACTCTTGTTTTCATGTATGAGTATTATACTGGATACAAAATGTATGTCATACAAGAAACATTGAAGCCTATATCAGTTATGTAATGTCTGTTCTTAAACTTTTATGTACACTCTGCTGACTAAACATTTTTGACTGCACATCAAAGATTTTATGTAATTTAGTTGTAATATTCAATTTTGATATTAATACATACTGTACAGTTAGTATGACTGTCAGGACATGTGAAAAACCTACAGTATAGTGAATTACGTTTTGGTTTTATAACTTTTCTTCATATAATTCTTTTACATAACTGACTCTGTATCACAGACCTGCTATGCTGTCATGCATTACAATATCAGCAATTGCAATTTTCATATAAATTACATTTTCTCGTGAAAGATAATCAACTCCACTGACGTTGTCAATTTAAAAATCACAATTATATGACATCATAATCTTTAGGCATCACAATCTTATGATATCACATGATACATCCAAAATGCATTATCCAACTGTGTACTCTTGAAAAAAAGAGTGATTTTTTAGTTTGTTAGTATTTTTGCGTTCCCTATAGGAACATGTAATTATAGACAATATGACATCACAATTTATGCTGATAATTGCCCTTTCATTATAAACTCTAGTTCAAGTGCTTCATTATATACATGTATATACTATATAGAAAAATAAGATTAACGACCGACTAAAAAACTAGCTGCTTTCTCCCTTCATAGGGCTCTTGAGGTTTAATCAAAAGAACAACATTGTGACGTCACAATTTCATGTCATCACACTACAATAGTAACGTGTCGTAACGAAGTACACAAGATTGGTGGACAATTTGGCTTAAAATTTTACTGTGGCCTGTTGAGACTTGGTTTTAATATTTTGATTAGTTGGTTTGTCTTTCTTTTCTCTTAAAATAGTATCTGATGAAAATAGTTGATACAAAGGTAATACATTAAATTTATCTCCAGCACATTCATGAATATGTTTGTTAACATGAAGATTTCGTAAAGAATCAGTTCTAGTTTGTTGTCTATGTACAGTCATACGTGTTCTGAGTTCATTACCGGTTTGACCGATGTAAAAATCACCACATTTAGAACAAACGATTGCATAAATTACATTTTTTGATTTGCAATTCATATTTACCTTCACAGTAAATTTCATACCATTCTTGAAAATAAAAGTATTACACTCGATAATCATAGGACATGTAGCACATCTTGGTGTCTTACATTTGGATACTTCTGGTGTTACACAAGAATTATCAAACTTAGAACATGTCAACATACGTTTTAAGTTTTTAGGTTGGCGTCTACAGTGTAAAATAGCATGTTTATTAAAAATGTTTCTCATACACCTGCTACTTTGCTTTAACTCTTCACATTTGTTCTTTATCACAGGAAACATATTACAATTCTGTGGATTGAAAGTAGAAACAAAAGGAACTAACTTTGATTCATCCTTTAGTTTTTGTAGACGGGAAGTAAAGGGTCCCTTTTCAATAGCTTTCTGTATACCATGTTCTATTATCTCAGTAGTATAACATTGAGTTTTAAGGTATTGCTTTAGTTGACTGAGTATAGCAATTTGAGCTTTTTGGTCACTGACGATAGTGACAATCCGTGAGGCAAGATTAAAAGGAATATTAACTTTAGTGTGTTTACTGTGGTTAGAGTAAAAATTTAGATAATTATGTGCATCTGTAGCTTTACAATATAAATCTGTTGTAATCTTATTTGAATCTAGTTGAACTAAAACATCTAAGAAAGGTAAAGACGTTTCGCTACACTCCATCGTATAACAAATAGAAGGATGTAAAGAATTCAATAGGTTTTGAAATTCATTTAAATCCTTATCAGAAGGCCATATAACAAAACAATCGTCAAGGAACCTTAAAAAATTATTTCTGATAAATTCAGTAAAGTTTTCCCCAAACTTTGTCTCAATCTTAGAATAAAGTGTTTCCTCTAAGTATCCTAAAACTAAGGTTGCATATGTAGGGGCAACTTTAGTTCCCATCGCTGTACCCTTAATCTGTTGAAAGTATTCTTGCTCAAAATAAAAAGAATTACGATTGAGGACAATGTCTAGAGCTTGCAGTATAAATTCATTACTAAAACGAGAATTAACTTTTTCTCGTTTTTTGATCAACCAATATTTAACAGCTTCAATACCAAGATCATGCGGTATATTAGTGTATAAACTAACAACATCAAAAGAAACAAGTTTAGCATTATGTGGGACCTGTTTAGATAAACGGCTCAGAAAATCAAAATCATCTTTGATATAACTGTTTACACTTGTGCATAAAGGTTTAAGAATGAGGTCTACAAGATGACTCAAACGTTGTGTTGCACTATTAGGGCCGCCTACTATGGGTCTAAACTTCAAATCCGTAGGATTTTGAACTTCAATATATGTACAGTTTTGTACTATATATACATACATATATAAAAGAGAATAGTTTTGTACTATATATACATACATATATAAAAGANTTACTTCCTTCACATGGACATTTAATCACTTTTTATCATACATATAACTATATACAAGATTAAGAATTTAATAATAGTAATTATCAAAAATATTTTCTTATTATTTGCCAAATTTATTCACTTTCACCATATTCACTTTTTATATTGTTTGCAAAATATTTTGGGAATGCATTTGTATCCTATTCTACTTGGAAATTTTGATTCAGTTTTTTATTTTTTTCAAAAACAAATGATGTATTCTTTTCACACCCCATCTGAAGCCCACCCATTATATCAACTAATCTTGATATATCCTAAATGTGTAGAGAAAAATGTGGAAATAAAACATCATTTGAGCATTTCAATGAACTCAGCATAATGATTTTTTAATTTTATAACCCCTTTTATAGTCAAGAGTCCTAGCTTTGAAAGGTGTTTAAACTTTTTACAACCCTTTGATCATCAAATTTCATATAAAACATGTCATATTTTATAACTTTTAAAGTTCTGAAAGAAGATATTATAAAGTAGATTTATTGTTTAATGCTGAACTTTGACCCTTATCTGTTGTGATCCTTTTTATGATCATGAAAACTCATGTGATGGTCACCAGGAATTGTTTTGGTGCCAATTTGGGACTGAATTTTCTTTTTTATTCTACTTTTCATTGTAAGATTGTATTCAGACGACACTGCAACTTTTAATATTGCAAATAAATCATTTTTTAACATTTAAGTTGATATTTTATAGAATAAAAGGGAGAATTTTCAGTATAATTTTAATAATTTCACAATTTTTATTTTTGCTACTAAATTTGCCCAATCCAAACATGTTGATATTTTGTAGAATAAAAGGGAGAATTTTCAGTATAATATTAAAAAAAAGTACAATTTTTATTTTTGCTACGAAATTTGCCGAATCCAAAAGCCACAGACTCTTCCCCCCCCCCCCCCCTCCCCCCCAAAAGTAGGAAAATAACAGGTTTTGTTTGCATATGTGTATACAAATTTATCAACGCTGTGGTTATATAATACCAGTACTTTAATCTATTTATGAGAAACAAGTTAAATCCTTGCAATGTAAATTTCATATTATTGAAAATTTGCACTATGAACTAGAAAGAGTATAATAGTGCAATATAAGTTGTGTGGTAGTACAATACATGTACATATTTTGTTGTATATCATAGCATATCGTTACATCATCAAAAAATAAATTTATATGAGAAACCTTGGCTGTACATCAGTATAGAATACATATTGGTCAGGCCAACTGATCAATGTGTTTTCAAGTTGGCTGTTAGCCAGAGCCTCAGCTACCCTGTACAAGTCAAATCTAGGGACCTGATCATATCGTACACACGATATGGCAGAACAAAACCTTTCTGAGGTTCGCTGATAGACTTTGATCATGCATAAGGTAGGCACTTTCATAATTGATATTTTTATAGGGTGACTTTTATGTATGGTATTGTATTTCATAATGCTTGGTGTCCAATATTTTCAGGTTTAAACTATGGAAATAGCATTGATTTAAAGCTTGGCACCATTGTTGATTTTATTACGTAGTTCAATTTGGCAAGGGATATGGGGGATTTGACCAAGGTATATCTTTAACATTACAGACTGAAAATTGTGAATATGTGAATTTATGTGGCATATACATGAAATGTTACTAAAATATAGAATCTTGTCCAAATTAAACATTTTTGTCTCCGGGTATTTTTTAAATAATTTTGTACATGTACTCTTTTCACCTAATAAACTTAGAAGACACAAAAGATCTGTTTTATGTCAGAAAAAATGTGTCAGATAAGTTGGATTCTACTGTGCCCCATTAATTTAAGGTAGGGATACAATGTATATCAATATAAATATTTCACTTTCTGAGTTTCTTCTCAGCGACATAAAACAGGAGTTGTGACAATTACCGTACTGATTATAATAATTAAAAAACACTTGATTCATCCTTATTGCTAATTTTTTTTTAGTCAATTCAAACACACACGCAAAAAAAACACCATAACATGTATTACACCAGACAAAAGAGCGACAGGGTAGTCGAAATTATATTTATTCAACAGCTATACTAGAATATGCCAGATAAGAAACTGAATATTTAATTTGATGAAAAATATGCACCTGTATTCTAGTGAATGGTTCAGTAAGACAGTTGGATTACAACCAATTTTCTGTAAGTTGACAGCTGTTTTAATTTCATAAACTTATTTCGATTGAATTCCGACACTACTCATATGAACGATATCTGTTTGAATTATTATTTTTTTTATCTAAAGCATCCAGACGAACAGAGTTCCATTGTGTCAACTGATAAATGAATAACTTTTGTTAATACAATTTTATTCTTTTTTTGTTTTCAGATGGCGACATTGAATGGCTTACACGCCACTAGGAATGGTGTAAATGGCACCACAAACGGGGATGGGAACCACGAGTCACTTAATGGCAGTGGTGTCCCGAAGCGACGGAGTAAACCAAATAGTGGTATCGGTCCAGACGGATATCCCCGTCTACCACCAATAAAAAAGCCGCAAGTGAAAATAGATGACCCATATGCCAACAGCAAATTGATGACCTTCAGATTAGCCAATCACAAGCAGGCGTTGCTGATGCAGATATTGTAAGTGCTTTTGTATGGATCATATTAAACCAACTTTTTAAAATTGATTACAACACTTATTTCTAAGCCAAGATGTCGCATATATATCAAACATAAGTTTTTCTCTATAAAGTTTTTTCATGGTCTCAATGGCTTTTATAGAATCACGTTCGATAGAAATTGTCTACTAGATAGGGGAACCTATTTCTTACGTAAATTCTCCAAGCGTGAAAACCCATTGTAAACATGTGATATTTCTCCGTATTCAGACATGATGATGCCGTCAAGGCTTATGAAGAAACGAAGGAGGTAAACGAAAAAGACACAGACAATAAAGACGACCCAGATTTTCCTCAAGAGGTATGTCACCAAAATCAATCAGAATTGACAACTATTTTTTTTTTTGTATTTCAGATTGAACACCATGTTTATTTTTATTTTTACAAATCTAATTGTTACCTTTTATATCTAAAAAAACCAAAAAAAACATCATTTTATCCATGAAAAAAATGTACCTGTATGAAATTGGATTTTGCAGTATTACTGATAAATAATCTTGTATTTTTTTCAAGTGTTGATTTTAATACAGTTCACAATTTCATTCATTCAATACATGAATGACAAAAGTACCATATTCACCATAATAAGCAACCTTCTTTAAAAAAAAAAAAATGCCTTCCCTACAACCCCATATTTAAAACAAATAAGCGCTTTTACTGTTTTTCTAATTAAAGTTTGTTTGTGTTAGGGCAGTTAAATAAAAGCTTCATCAGGTTTGCAAAGAATACTTTCAAACGCCATTAAAATAATGTTGCTAATAATTGTCGTCAAACACTAATGTTTTTCAAGTTTTGAGGTATTTACAGGGGTAATACAGAATATGGTATATTACCACGTTCAAGAAAATATTGTTTATAATGTTTTAATTTGTTTGTTGACATTTGTTGTGTTTACTGTTTCGACAGCATGACCCCAGAGCGGTTAGTCTGCACTTGATCGCACCATATAATATTGTTTACTCAACAAAACGTTGTAAATCTGTTATATATATATATGTATATTGCATTTCCTAAATGGTCATTTATAATTTAGGGTAATCACACAATGTCAGTTTTTTTATGACTGAAGTGTTTTTGCTTTGTTTAAATTCAATTCTCAAGGTATCTGTGCTGTGTTTTTACAAATTTGAAGAATTATTAATTCAAATATTTATTTATTTTTGGTGATTTCTAAAATATTGGTTTGTGTGCACTACTTTATATTAAAAATTGAATTTATTTGTTCAATTTAGAAAAAGAAGAACATATTGGTGTTTTTTTCTTAAAAACAGTTGTTAATTTACAACAACAAAAAAGAAGAAAAACTTAACAACAAACATGTTTATGATGTTGTTTTTTATTTGATAAGATAACCAAAATGTCAGAATTGTTAGATGTGTGAACACACCCACTATGCATGGTTGCATTTCACTAGACAAATGATATTAATATGTTTATCAGTCACAAACACAAATGATTCTGGTAACTTAAAGTTACGATCAAAGCCCATTTGCTCAAGGCATGACCAGCTGAACAGAGTATATTTTGTTGTCAAGATTCAAAAGGAATACCTGAATGTATCCTTTAAGACTTATTTTCTGTGATATTTGACAAAGATTTGCTCTATTGAAAAATATGAATTTGATTTGTTAAGCAAGACAGCCTTGAAAATCTGGGTCAATACTTCATTTCATATTGAGAAATTTTTATTTTTTTTTGCATTTAAGGAATAAATACTTTTTGTCACAATACCAGATCGTACCTGCAATATCATTATAAGATAAGAATTTGCAAAACATATGTCCTCAATGTAAAAATTTCAACCTCCCTCAACAGATGATGAGCAAAGAAAGAAGGATCCGGGTATGTTCTACCTTATATGGTCATAGCTCCCTAACAATGCTTGCCATACCTTATATGGTCATAGAACCCTAACAACGCTTACCATACCTTATGTGGTCATGTCTCCTTAACATTGCTTTTCATACCTTATATGGTCAGTTCTTATTAACAATGATGCTTACCATACCTTATATGGTCATGTCTCTTTAACATTGTTGCTTACCATACCTTATATGGTCATTTCTTATTAACAATGATGCTTACCATACCTTATATGGTCATTTCTTCCTAAAATTGAGTTTTTCTAACAACTTTCACCATAACTTACTTAAATTTGTTTTGGTCATATTTCTATAACTATACTTAACCATACCTAATGTGGTAATATCTCTGTAACATTGATGCTTACCATACCTTATATGGTCATTTCTCTTTAACTATGATGCTTACCATACCTAATATGGTCATGTCTCCTTAAACGGGCTGGTCGGAGAAAAAATTACAAAATAAATGGGTTTTAATGCATTCTCTGGCCTTCCAAAAGTTATACCACGGCAATATGATGGTCGAGTTCTGCTTGCAGTGTCCAGTTTTGACAACTGAAATCTCGGGGAAGCCCCGCGTAAATTTAGCGCAGATCTATTTATATATGTCACGTGGTTGTTTTGAAAGTGAGGCAGTGAAGATAACAGCAATAGCACGTCATGTGCCATATCGGACTCAACTAGCGGACAAGACAGCAATACTATACGTAAATAATTGTTTTCAAAGGTCATGTATAATGCTATTGTAACGGTATTGATACCTCGTGCCTGTCATGACTTTTGCATGTATCTTTTTCTTTCGCCGCGATGTTTACATTAAGCCTTGTTGATGACACGTGTGCGGTAAAATTACATCACTGATCTAGGTCAATTGAGAGTTCTTTAATACAATTATAATTTTTAATCTTAGGGAGTGAATTTCAGCAAAATTTGTATCGGTATATTCATAAGAAGGTATTTTAAACATGTGTATGCCATTTTAGCAAATATCACATTTTTCCCCCGACCAGCCCCTTTAACATTGTTGCCAACCATACATTATATGGTCATATCTCCCTAAAATTGATGATTAACATATATTGTGAGTTTTTCTAACAACTCTCACCATAATTTACTTAAATTTGTTTTGGTCATATTTCTTTAACTATACTTAACCATACCTAATGTGGTAATATCTCTGTAACATTGATGCTTACCATACCTTATACTGTCTACCTTAGATTGATGCTAACAGTCATAGTTAGTAACTGTACATATCTTATACAATCATATATCTCTTAAACTAATGCTTCCCTAACTGTTGTGTGCTATACTGAGTGAGTGCTTACGACTAATTATTGCTAGTTTGGATAGCCTGCTGTAGTTTTCTATTTTAGTCTAATATCAACTTATGTGTAAAACATTGGCGTTTACGATCTGTTCTATCATGATATTAAGGCAGACAGTCCCACCACTGTTCTACTATATCAAGATGTTAAAATTAGTTTTTCTCTTAACTTTATGTTGTTACATCTATACTCAAATTATTCACAGAAATGTTGTGGAAAATGTATCACATAATAAATATCATGACTGGTGAAACAGTGAGTAATCTCTCTGCATTATTATCAAGTGGTCCTGGGTTTGAATCCCAATAATGGAGAGGTTTTGTCTGAAACAAAATTATAAAGAATATATTTATTCTGTATACAATTCTGCTACAGTTAATGGGCAAACAACTCCAAATCTGAAAGAAGAAAAAAAATTGGAATTCTTCTTCTTTGGAGATTCAAGAAAGAGTTCTTAGACTGTCTACCTTAAAGAAGGATTATTTAACAATATCACAAACCGTAACTTATTTTATGAAAAATTGAAAAAGACATGTATGATGGCTTAATAGACTATTTTCAGTATGTGACAATATCTCTTTGTCTTGAGCATTTCTGGTTCATTTGATCACTCTTACTTTTGATGCCATGATATACTTCTCTGATCCTGGAACCTTCACAGCTTGATATTTCTCCTTTTTTACAATATTAATTCATTCACCCCTGAACACACATTTGAATTCTTCCAGTTCAAAGGTTGGAATAGTTCATTATGAAATTTCAGGGGTGAATGAGTTAAAAACCTTTATAATAATACCATCTAATTTAGAAGTCATGTTCTAATTCTAGTTTTTAAAGTAAAATAGAGTTGTTTGTTTTAGCTGTCAATATTTTCACTAGCTAAACATCTTTTTTCTAGAAAAACTGTTAGATTTATCAGTGTCTGAACAAGATTTATCAGTGTCTGGACATATAATTTAATTCATTTTGAGTTTTGGGAGAGGGAGGGGGTTATCTAGGGGGTTAGTGTCAGGTCATTTTAGTTAAAGCATACTTTCTCATGATGTAATATCTATTTAAGAATTGTTTCATTGATAAGGTATAGCTGTTGTATATTAAGTACCTGTGGAAGTCCATTCTAAATGTAGGAACAGACCTAATGTTTTTCTGTACAATACTGAACTAGGGGTATTTAATTCTTGTCTACCTATTCAGGCAGTAACGTACCACAATTGTTTATATTTATTTGGACGAATTCCAATCAATGACTTGGTCCTTCGTAGCTTGACAATCTGCCAAATTCTACTTTAAATATTTTAACTACGATACATGTACCTTACCTGAAATTTATAATGGAAGTGTATTTCTTACAACACAAGACCAATCTAAGTTTATTCATAGGGGTCACAGAGTATAAAAAAAACCTTCAAGGGTTTTTCTTATATTAATCCAAGGGGGGAAAAAAATGGTTTTCCACATAACCGGTAATCTTAAGTTTCAAATATGGTATTCCATATGAATACCTAAAGCTTCAAATTTGATATTCCACATGAATTCTTTAAGATTCAAATCTGGTATTCCGCATGAATATTTAAAGGTTAAAATGTGGTATTTCAATTGAAAATATGGTTTTGGTGTTCCAACAAAATATCTGGTTAAATTCCTGGTGCACTAGAGTTCTGTTAAATTCTAGTCCTGTAATCTGTAATCTTACACAAAAATAACTGTCAATATTGGCATACATGCTTTTTACTAGTAATGTCTTGCGATGTTGTAAGCCAAAAAAATTAGCATTTTAGTCTGAGTTAAGCTATTGTTGTCTTTATCAGTCTGCCATTTGTCACGTCTGGTTATTGGCAAACAGTATTAGAAAGATATGAATTTTTAAAAAAATGTATCCTAGCAGTGATAAATCTACATGCCCGAGGCCTATATATATATTCATAGAATTTTTATGGGTCTCACAGAATTTCTGGAAATACTTAAATTTAACATTGTGGTACTCATTGTTTTTAGCAATAAAGTTGAGAAGGACTCGTAAAAATGAACTGTAGATTATTCACTGCCCTAGTAGTTAAAAGGAGACATTTTCAAAGAATTTATTTTCGATTTCTAGCACATTTTAACAATGCTAGAATTCAGAGGCCATGCCATGGAAATAAAGTTTGACATTGGTCACAATTTTTATATATTTTTTCCAAAGCCAGATAAAAGTTTAAATCAAATAAATAATGATACAGATCCCATAGACCTTTTGTATTTGTTGATTTCTTAGTTATTTAACAAATATCATGTGAAAAGTTGAATGATTTAAAATGAAAATGTAAAGATAACGCTAACAATGAAAATTTATTCCAAATACAACTGACTGGTTTATCAACGTGTGTAATTAATTCTATGACAATACATGTATAACATGAAACATGGTAATCAGAGCACGCTCCCATCATGAGTCTCTGTTATAATGTTTAGCTGAACTACCAGTACCTACGGAAGTGTGTGGAGGCGGGGCCAGTCACGCCCATGCAGCCAGAATGGAATGCTCAAATTCTGAAGATGGTGCCAGAACATCTACAACAATCGGCCATGCTCAAGGAAGTCATCAAGGGACTCTTCGATGAGATCAAGGTCGACTTCAAGGCCAGCATGAAAAAATCTATGGGTAATTAATTGAAGAATTAATTTATGTTTATTCATATTGGTAGATTGTTTATTTCATTTGATCTCATTGCGTTGTACTTCTAAAATGGTTTAAATTGTTTGGATTTTGTTCACACTAAAGCTTCTTATCTACGAAAGATTCTTTATTGTAACTGCCTAGGTATTTGTATTATGATTAGACAGTGTTTTGCATCCCATTAACAGATCTTTTCCCCCCCCAAGGTCATGGTCACATCAAGAGGTCAAAGGTCACTGAACTACAATGCATTGCTCACTTTTGATCATTGAACATTTAAAAGACGTTCAAAAATTTCAGATTGTGCACAAGCAAATTTATGTTCATGCATATCACACACAAATCTGTGTTGCATATACTGATTGGGAATATTGGGGTGTTTTGTTTCTCTGATTATTTCTTTTATAAATCCATTTGGCAACAGAATTTTTTCTCGTAAATGGTTATATTTTCTACCAACTGAATTTTTGCCTTTTGGTTTTTTAAAACAAATTTGTTTTGCTATGAATTCACCATCCCTTTGTTATAAAACCTCATATTAAGGGTGCTAGTACCACTTCAAAAAACTGTAATAAGTATTCCAAACTTTTTTTCCCAGCATGACCAAATCTTTGATAAATGCTTTCAAAAAAGAAACCATATCTTGCGGGACTTCTATGAAAAATAATGAAGATGAAACATTCAAAATGTAATCAACAACAGTGATCTGAATTTTTTTTAAAAGTCAGTGGGCTTAGACCGGGATTTGAACCAGGACTTTAGATTGATGTACTGTCGCTCGTACCGACTCGGACCTAGCTACCTGGCCTGGCCCAATTGTGTTACTGTTATATATACAAAGGGAAGTTAAGGGTTAGGTTACTTACTGTACATAAGATAAAACACAATAAGCGGGACAGGGATCCTAAACCAAATCCATCGCTATATTTACCCTGTCTTTAATTTGTTCCTTTTTGTTTACACAAAAATAATTAATAGATGTTTTTTTTTATTTCGTAAACATTTATGATTTTAACTTGTCAGAGAAACATTGCATCCCATCATCCCCTATCTCTTCATATCATAATATAAAAATAGGTAAATTATCTATATTGTCTTAAATTTTTATTTTTTTGTTTTCTATTTTATTAACAGTCCAACATGTACTGCTCAAACCTGGGGTCAAGGGACTGGACAATGAGGAGGCCGGACCCCCACCACAAGAGCCAAGGTCAGTGCAATTTAACACAAAACCACTATGGCTGTCTTACTTTATTTACCTCCAAAATGAAATTGAAATCTGTTAAGTGTAACATGGACTCGAGAGTAATATGGCAACCTGAGAGACGGAACCTGACAGTTTGAAAACAAACTACATAACCTTCAGTTTTTTATTCAATGTTCTATTGAACTCTCTGAAGAGATAACAAAAAGTAACTTGCTTCAATTAAGTTGTTCAAATTCATTGTTGTCAAGTTTTTGGGGGAATTTTTTTCTCTCTAATAATTGAAAATGTTCTGTTTACAGTGGGTTAGACTTCTCCCGCCCTTGGCATGAAAGTTACATGCAGGCAAAGGAGGTCATCCTGGACAACCTGCATACCTTGCACCCCTCCATGCAGACTGTGCTCAACATGTGTCAAACCACCCTCGGGAACCTCATACTGGTGGACTGTTCCAATATGAGGTAGCTACAATGCATCAGTGTATTGGCAAACTTAGCTTAATGCCTATTGATTTGAAATATCTTTTTCTTAAATTGATGTCAATTTTTAGCACAATGAAAATGATTCTCTCGTTCTTTCTGCAAAGATACTAATTTGATTTTTCCTTTAAAGGCAAACTTGTCAAATATCTCTTAGTCAAAGACAGTGTTCACTAACAAGGTGGTATGTTTCAAAGATTTCTTTAAATTGCACTTGAAACAAAACCATAGTCAAATGAATCAGATCACCCAAATGATTCAAAAACAGTTTTTGGACATAACCATTGGTTTTTTAGGTCACCTGAGACAAAGTCTCAAGTGACCTATTGCGATCGCCTTTTGTTCGTCGTCGTCCGTCGTCATCCGTCGTCCGTCCGTAAACAATGTACATTTTCGACTTCTTCTCCAAAACACCTGAACCAATTTCAATGGAATTTTGCAGAAACCTTCCATGGCCAAAGGTCAACAAAAGTAGGTGCCGGTTTGGTCCCCGGCCCCCAGGGGCCTGAGGGGCAGGGCCAAAAAGGGTCAAATTGACTAAAATTTCAAAAATCTTCTTCTCAAGACCCAGTAATGGTAGAATCAAATACTCTTCATTTATGGAAGGGTCTTAAGGTGCTTTACCAAAATTGTGAATTTCTTGACCCTGGGGTCTCACGTTTCCCCCTGGGGAGGGGGTAAACTTTACTATAGTTTATATAGGGAAATCACATTTTGGACCAACATTTGTTTAATTGCCATTGGAGGTAATTCAATTTAGGTTAGCATTATCAGTATTGGGTAGCAGTTGATGGTATGCACATATCAGCCCTGACTGACCCACCGGGGCTATTGGGTGGGGCCATAAAGGGTCGAATTGACTGAAATTTCAAAAATCTTCTTCTCAAGACTCAGATATGGTAGAATCAAACACTCTTCGTAGATGGAAGGGTCTTAAGGTGCTCTACCAAAATTGTGAATTTCATGAACCTTTGGTATCACGTTTCCCCCTGGGGAGGGGGTAAACTTTACTATAGTTTATATAGGGAAATCACATTTTGGACCAACATTTGTTTAATTTCCATT